GGACAGAAAGTATCTTGTCCTTTTCCTTATTGCTTTTGGTGTCTTCCACCTGCATGAACTGTTTCTGCCTCTCTGCTGTGCCACCCCACCTTTGAGGCAATGGATTATGAACCAAAACCTCTACAAACTATGAGCTAAATAAACCTTTCTCCCTTTAACTTTGGGTGTTGGGTATTTTGTCTCAGCAATGGAGAATCAAGATGCCCAGATTCCATTAAACTGTTTAATCTTGCTATGGAGGTACATGCTTGTAATTCTAGATACCCAGGAGGCTGAGACAGGAGGATCATAAGTTCAGGCCAGAGTGAACAACTTCGAGACACTTTCTCAAAACACAATTTTTTCAAAAAAGGGACAGGTGAAGAAGGCTGGAAATACAACTCAGTAGTCAAGGGCTCATCTATCATGAATGGGGAATGATTCATAGCAGGCATGGCGGTGCATGTCTGTAATCCCAGCACATGAAAAACTGAGGCAGGAGGATTACTGTGAGCTCAAGTGCAGCCAGGCCTATATAGTTAGTTCAAGGCCAAGCTGAACTGTATCAGGAGACTCTATCCCCCCAAAAAAGTGGGCTCCATGATTCAATCCCTTGTATCAAAAAAGTTGAAACTATCTGACTCTATTTCTTTTTCTTTTTTTTTCTTTTTTTTTTTTTTTTTTGAGCAGAATACATTTATTGAGAGAGAGAAAGCTCCTGTCCAAGACAGGGACAAAAGGGGGGCCCGAGCCAGTAATTCCCCAGGAAGCTGTCTCTTCTAGGGACTTTTTTAATGTAAAACCATGTGGGGCTAAGGTAGAGAGAATGGGAACTCACTTAGGTGGGCAGGAGGTGGGACAAAACTATGGCCAACCAATGGGATTACAAGCACCATTGCTCAGGTAAAACTGATTAACTACATAAAGACAAAGCATAAGCAATTGTAACAGTATTATGAGACAAAGTATGAATAATTAATTATGAGTAATGGGCAAAGACATTAACATTTGATGCATAAAAATTTGTTACCTAATCAAGTCCCAATCCAGAATTCATGAAAGAAAAGCAAACTCATACCTCCGTCCACTCTAAAAATGAAGAATGAATTTTAGGAACAAATGGAGGTTATGAGCAGAATATATTTATTGAGAGAAAGAAAGCTCCTGTCCAAGAGAGGGACAGGAGGGGGGCCCGAGTGGGTAGCTCCCCCCGACTCCATTTCTTACAACCTACTTATTTCTTACCCAATTCTCTCTACCTGAAGCCCCCAGGGCTGGCCAAATAGCTCAGTGGATTAAAGTGCCTGTAAGCAGGTGCAGGGGCTAGGGTTAGACTCCTGGGGTGTGCTGAGATGGCAATTGAGACCGGGTATGGTGGCACATGCCTGTAATCCCAGCTCTTGGGAGGCTATAAATAGGTGGATCACTATGAGTCTAATCTAGTAGTGAGACCCTGAACACTCTGTAGACCCTTCCCTAAAATACACACACACACACACACACACACACACACACACACAAGATAGGGTTTGAGTCTTACAGTAATTATATTAAAAGGTTAATCGGATTATGACTCATAATTTCAGGGTGTAAAAAAAAAAAAAACGGGGCTGGGGAGATGGCTCAGTAGAATAAATGCTTCCCTGGCAAGCGCAAGGGTGTGAGTTCAATCCCTGGTTCTGCCAAAAAAAAAAAAAAAAGAAGCCCCCAAATATAACAATAAACTAACCAACTGGCTGTGCTGCATGATCTCTAGGTGGTGTATGATCTGTTAACCCCTGTACTGATCCTCTTGGAAGCCTTGTGGTCTCTGTGTCCTATTCTGATCCTTTTCCTCGTCTGCCTCTCTGCAAGCCTTATGTGACCTTTTCTACCCATGTGGTTTTACTCTGTTTCAGTGATTTTCAGCTCTTTATCTTTACACCATTCCTGTTTTTCTTAAACTCTAGGCCAGTGGTAGCAAACGCATAGTATGCATGCTGCAGGTGGCTGTGATGTTGAAAGCTGTAAAAGGTTCACCACCGTGCTGCAGGCCCACAGATCCATAGCCATGTATCTTACTGGGGACATCACTTGACTGGAAGGGAGCCTAAGGCCATGTCTATAACTGCACTCTTGGCCTTGGCTTCTACCACATGCACTCCTTTCCCACCCATCCTTTGCCTACACTAGCAATCGCTGTCAGTGCAGGTGCTCACATCACGCTACTGTTTCTTTTCTTTCCTCTAAAGTGAGCACCAAATTCTATCAATTCTACCTCTCAAACATCTTTTCAGTTTGCCTCTTTTCCTGGCCTCTTCTGCCACCACTCTAGTCCCAGGCACTAGCATCACTTACTTCACGTGCTGTTCACTGGCAAATAATTACTGATTTTCCACTACTTGCCAGTCTCAGGTTGTCGCGGACATTATGGGTGCAGCAGAAAAGCAAATAGAGGTTCCTACTTTTGTAAGAAAATGACCCTTGAAGGTATATTATTTTTTAACTTTCTGGAAAAGACATTGGTACAGGGATAGTTTTCTATAGTGTAATAAACTGAGTAAGAAAGATACATGGCAAAAAAAAAAAAAAAAGATACATGGCAAATAACTTTTGTGGCAGTGTGGAAAGCACAACACGTGGTGTAACAAGCTGTGGAACCATTTACCTATGTTTCATAACAGTTGCATCATTCTTCTTTCCCACCAGCAATGCAGTGCTCCAACTTTTCATATTCTTGCCAAGACGTATTTTTTCCTTTTTTGTTGTTGCTGTTGTATTTTGTGGTGCTGGTGATCAAACCTAGAGTTTCTTGGATGCTATGGAAACACTCTACCACCAGTCTTAATTTTTTAATAAGTATTCCAATAAACCAAGCATGGTGGAACATGCCTATAATCCCAGGTGTTGGGATGCTGAGGTAGGAGAATTGCCATCAGTTGGAGACCAGCCTGGACTACAAAGTGAGTTCAAGACCAGCCCACAGTATAAAGTGAGACCTTGTTGCAAGAAAATCAAAACAAAACAAAAAAATTACTCCAATTGATGTGAAGTTGTAGTTCATTGTGATTTTAATTTTGTAGTTTTAATTTGTATGTCCATAATGACAGTGAACAGTTCTTTAATAGGACCACTAGCGTTGAAGTGAGGGTTTACTTGAACAAGTCCTTTGCTGCAGGCCACAAGCAGGGGTGCAGACCAGACAGAGCCCTTGTAAATTAGTCACCAGTGAATATATTTTTTATGTGTTTATTAGCTATTAGTGTATGTTCTGTGGAGAAATGTTTATTATAGCTGGATGTGGTGGTGCATTCCTATAATCTCAGCATGGTGGGAGAGTGAAGCAAGAGGATCACCAACCTGCATAACTTTGGGAGTTTTTGTCAGAAAATAAAAAACAAAAAGGGGAGGAGTAAGATGTAGCCCAGTGCAAACATCCTATGTTCAATTCCCAGAAACACACACACATGAATACACACACACAATTTTGCTTACTTTTTTAATTGGTTTGTTTGTTTTTGGGACAAGGTTTCTCTATGTAGTTCAGGCTGGCCTCTAACTTGTGGCCATTTTCCTGTTTCAGCCTCCCCAGGGCTGGGATTACAGACAAGTCACTATGCATGGCTCTGCTTACTTTTGAATTGCATCGATTTTTCTTAAGTTGTAATTCTTTCTGCATTCTGGATATTAATCCCTTGACAGATATGTGACTTGCAAATACTTTTCTGTTTCTATGCCTTTTTACTCTATTGATACTGTCATTTTATGCTCAAGTTTAATTTTTATAAAGTGCAATTTGCCTATTGTTTTCTTTTGTTGCCTTTTGTGTAATCCAAGAAGTTGGCCAAATCTGCTATCATAAAATTTTTCTCATGTGTTTCCTTGCTTTATAGTTTGCTGTACTTACTTTTAGCTCTTTAATCCACTTTCAGTCAATTTTCATGTAAGTGCCCGACTTTAATCTTTTCATGTGGACATTTGTCACAGCAGGTTTTATTAAAAAGGCTGACCCCTAGCTATGGCACTGGTGAATGCTGAGAACCCCTGCTACTACAGAGGCTGTGGTCAGAGGGTCCCCAGTTTAAACATAATCCAGACACCATAGCAAGATCTAGTACCACCACCACTACCACCCCACCCCACCCCTGCCAAAGAAATACGGTAAAAGAAAAAAAGGGACTGGTTTAACTGACCTTTCCATGATTTTAAGAATACAACTAGCCTATTGTTAAGAGACATCTCCTAGGTAACTGCTAGCCATCCCACCTACTAAGAGACTAAGGTGGGAAGACGATCTTAAATTCTAGTTCAGCTTGGGTAAGTTAGAGACATACTATCGCAAATAAAAAGTGCTGGGGATGTAGCTAGGCCTTCCTTGGGTACAATCTCTATTCAGAGGAAGGGGAACACACATTTTTAAAATATCTGGAAACACAAAGTGTTGGCTAAACAAAACACGTGCAGGCTGGATTTTGGCCAAGTGTTACCAAGAAATGTGAGACTTTATTTTCCAAATTTTTTCAAAACGAGTAGGAGAAAAGAGATACACTGTGAACCTCAAAAAAGTGTTTTGTCTTAGTGAGTACACACAAATAGAATCTAAGAAGAAAGTACTGTGAGAAGGGTTTTAAAACCTTTACCTTTTTTGCTTTTGCTTTGCTTATTTTGAGACGGTCGTGCGATGTAGGCCACGCTAGCCCGCAACGCGCAGCGATCCTGCCTCAGCCTCCTCAGTGCTAGAATTACAGGCATGCTCCAACACGCCCGGCTGTTTTCTGGGTTTTCTTTGTTTTTAAGCAGAACATCACTACATAGTTCTGGCTGTTCTTGAGCTCACTTTGTAGCTCTGGCTTGCTTGAACTCAGGGTCATGCTTCTGCCTCAGCTTCTCAAGTGCGAGATTACAGACAGGAGCCAGTACGCGGGTCACAAAGGACGGTGGACTCCCGGCACCCTCAAAGGCGCTCTTCCGCACGCCCCACGCGAGGGCTCTGCTCTCCGCCCGGAAGCTCTCCCGCGCCCGCCGTGACGTCAAAAGGCCGCGCCAGAGCGAAGGCGAGGGCTGGGCTCCGCGGGGACCGCACCTGTGTAGGTGACTCGTGCTGTGGGTGCTGCTGAGTGAGCCGCTGTCCGCTGCCGCTGGCGGTTCTCGGCGGCGTTTCCCGCAAACCTTCGGCCTCGGGAGCCCTTCCACCACGAGGCTGCGCGGTTGCTGTCCCTGATCCTGGTGCGCGCGTTTCTTTCTCGCAGTGAGTTGGGGCGGGGGTGGCTGACCTCCCGGCTGCACCAGCGCGGGTTGCGCAGAGAGGAGGGCGCCCGGCGGTTAAACACAGGACGGGGAACCCCGCACCTAAACAAGAGCAGTACTTCCCAAAGTGACAGCTTTGATCGCTTTAGAAAATTTAGCAGTTCATGCCTGCAATTTCTAGTTACGAGGGAGGTTGAGGGAAGAGGATCGCGAGTTCGAGACTTTGCATGGGCAATTTAGCGAACACCTGTCTCAATTTAAATAAATAAAAGAGCTTGTGGTGTGACTTGATGGTAGCGCGCCCCTGGGTTCTATCCCCAGTTCTATCCCCCGCCTCCAAATAAAATGGAGGCGTTCATTTCTCTCTTTGTACTGTTTACAAAGACAAAATTCAAAAGACTCTTAAATCAATATATTGGGTTAGGGCCTCGAGTTAAATATTGTGGGCAGTCTAAAGTAAATTTTTTTTTCTTTAAAGAAATCTCTGAACATTCAATAACGGAACTTAGAAAAAATAGGGTATACAGAGGAATGTCCATTTTGTATCTGTGTATTCAAAGTGGTTAGGCTATGGGGCTGGTGAGATGGCTCAGTGGTCTAGAGCACCTACTTAGAACAAGCTTAGCAAAGCACAAAACACAGAGACCGCGGTTCAATTCCCCAGCACCACATGCCAGCCAGCCCCGCCCCCTGGTGGGCTGAGCTGGCCACACACACACACACTAAATAAATAAATAAAATTATTTTTTAAAAAAGTGATTAGGATAGATATATAGTTGCATTCTCTTAATGAACAGAATGATTTGTTCTAATGGTGTTTGTAAATAGGATCTCAAGTCCGCATCTTGTACAGCAATTAACCACTAAGAAGAATATATGCAGTGTGTTATTTGTTGAAACTGTACTTCCGATTTGATTTGAAACTGTCTCATTGCTGTTTATCAATAAAATTTTGGGGAAAAAAAGAAAGATTAAAAAAAAAAAAGAAATCTCTGAACATCTTTTAAGAAGTCTTTTTTTTTTTTTTTTTGGCCGAACCGGGGAACTCAGGCCATTGCGCTTGCCAGGAAGCGCTTATTCCACTGGGCCACCTCCCGGGCCCAAGAAGTCTTAATCCAGGCTATTTAAAACAATATTTGAATGATTATTGTAAATATGGTGAAATACTGGGTTCAATTGTAACAGTATGCACATAGCCTTTTTTCCTTATGACATAGATAATCCCTCTCATTTAGTAGGGTAAACAGGTAACCAGACAATTAAGATAAAGTATTATAGCTACCATCATAGGCAGATTGCTGTAAGAACTACTAGGAATACTTGCTGCTAAGTATGGAGCCAAGTATAGTGGCACATGCCTGTAATCTCAGTACTCTAGGAAGCTGAGGCAGGAGGATCAAAAGTTGGAGCCCAACTTAGTGAAACCTGTCTCAAAAAAAAATCTTGGGGGAAGGGGTATTGGGAATATAGCAAGTTATGAAGACCCCCACTATTGCAAAAAGTAAAAAGTGAAATGAAAAGTGTGAGTTGCAGAGTAGTTTAGGTTGGGGATGTAGCTCAGTGGTACAGCATTTGCCTAGCATGCACCATACTCACAGGTGGATCCCAAGCACTATGAAAGAAAAAGAAAACGGGTTGAAAACAGGTGAATGTAGTCAAAAGGGTTCAGAAAGTAGAGTAACTATAATGAATGGATTAGGGATGATTGATTGCCAGGTCAGTAATGAAACGATCTGGTTTCCAGCTCAAATCAGCTGGCTCAAGAGCAGTGTCCTTCCCTGCAATTGAACACAGGAGGAGTGGGTTGAGAAGGGAAAGGAGAGATTATGTCAATTTGTTAGGTGGGCAGTATCTTTCAGGTGTTAGTAATGAAAGCTACAGAAATATATCAGATGTCATGGGGAAATAGATTGAAAAAAGGGATAGTCATATTCTCCTTTAAAAGGCATGGGGAGGGGCTGGGTAGATGGCTCAGGGTCTGAGTTCAATCCCTGGTTCCGGAAAAAAAAGGCAATGGGGAATGTTGGCCTCAGTGCACAGGCCAGAGACAAAAAACTGAAGTGGTGGCAAAGTTATTAAATAATATCAAGGAGGGCCGGGGAGATGGCTCAGTGGAATAAGTGCTTCCCTGGCAAGCTCAAGGGCCTGAGTTCAATCCCCAGTTCCGCAAAAAAATAAATAAATAAAAATAAATAAATAATATCAAGGAGCTGGGTGTGGTGGTGCACACCTGTAATCCCAGCACTGGGGAGGCTGAGGCAGGAGGATTGCAGCAAGTTTGAAGCCAGCCGGTACTACATATAGATTTCAGGGCCAGCCTGAACTACAAAGCAAAAAAACCCTACTACTTCTCTCAAAAAACCCCAAAACAATGAACAAACAAACCCAAGGGAAAAAGAAAAATTTATTTGTGGATGTTTTTGTTATATTTTAATTTTGTTTTTTTGTTTTTATACATATCTAATACAGGTTCTTATTAAGCAGCTCAGACTCTTGTTTTTGGCCTCTCAGCACTGGGATTACAGTCCTGCACCACACCCAGCTGCCTGGGCTGACAGGATCGAACCTCAGTCCCTGTAAGTAGGCACTTAGTGTGCTGAGCTATGTTTTTGTTACATTTTGAAAAAAATTATTAAAGTTTTTCACTTTAAAATTGATGCTGAAGGTGGCAATTTATAATAGTAGGTTCATGCTTGGAGTGCCTGTCATTCTGGTCTTCTGAGTACGTGCTGCTTGTCAGGACACACCAGTTCCTGCCGTGCTGTCTCTTGGGTAGACGACTGTTTAAAAAGGAAGAAGGTGTTGAATAAAGGCAGGAGACAGGAAAAGGAGTGTTGTGGGACTGTCTTGCAACAATGTTGTATGTGGTTAGATTTCTGGACTAAATGTGTAAACATATGTAATTCTTTATTCCTATTTTTTATTTTTTTTTAATTTTTTTTATTTATTTGTTTATTTTATTTTATTTTTTTTTGTGTGTGGCCAGCTCAGCCCACCAGGGGGTGGGGCTGGCTGGCATGTGGTGCTGGGGAATCGAACCACAGTCCCTGTGCTTTGCTTAGCTTAGCTTGTTCTTTAGGTGCTTTAGACCACTGAGCCATCTCACCAGCCCTCCTATTTTTTAAATATATTTTACTTTTTAAATTTTTTTGGTCATATTCTGTAGGGACTTAAAGTTAAACATATCAATACTTGATGAAAAATACCTGTTCCATGTTATGCATAAGATGTTTGATATTCAGACAGTGAGGTTAAGCTCAACAGCCTAGGTTATATGGTAATAACAATAAGCTTCTCTTTGGGAGGGTTAACAACCTAAGTTTGCAGACCAAAATTTTAGAGAAAAAGGAGGGCCACAAGGAAAGCCAACATTTTGGTCCCAGCCTTCCAAGGTCAAGACTCATGTACTGTAACATCATGTAACTCAGTTGTGTCCCAAATTTTCTGATCAAGGAGATTATGGGGCCAAAGAGGAAAGTGATCGATGATGTAGAGTGTGCCGAAGGAGAGTCACATGGAGAGAAAACATTTTCTCAGTCTTTCACAGAGAGCAAATTGGCCAAACAATGGCCGTGACTCATCCACATGACTGACACTGACAAAGGTTCTACAATCTGAGGTACAAGGTCTCAGGATAAATCCTGAGGGGATTTGACTGACCTTATCAGATCCAAAAGCTACAATTCTTGTTACATAGGTCTTGCTTTATCTTGGTCTTAACCATCCAGCAGAAAAATGTAAAAATGAAGTATAAGAAGTAAGGCCATGTTGTTATGTTGAGCTGTAGGGGACTCAGGTCAACAATTTCTGACATTGCCAGTCAAGTGGAAGACCCTGTACTATTATGGACTACTGGACTATTTTGGGATATTTTGCTGAATTCACATACCTATAATATTTATTTTTTTTTATTTTTTTTGCAGAACCGGGGATTGAACTCAGATCCTTGCGTTTGCCAGTCAAGCGCTTATCCTACTGAGCCATCTCCCCGGCCCTATAATATTTAAATGATGGAACTAAACAAAAAAAGGGGGGATACAGATGAATGATCATTTTGTATCTGTGTATTCAAAATGGTTAGGATAGATATATAGTTACATTCTCTTAATTCAATGAATAGAGGGATTTGTTCTAATAGTTTGTAAATAGAATATCATCTCTACATCTTGTACAACAAATAACCACTAGGAAGGCAGCATGCAATGTGTTAATTGTTGAAACTGTCCTACCAATTTGATTTGAAACTGTCTTATTGCTATTTGTTTCTCAGTAAAATTATGGAAAAAAATAAAATTGATGCTAGTTTCACATTTTTAAGCATCTTCATCTTTTTTGGGGGGCGGGGGGTGGAACTGTGGATTGAACTCAGGCCTTTGCACTTGCCAGGCAAGCGCTTATTCTATTGAGCCATCTCCCCGGCCCCTAAGCATCTTCATCTTGTGGACATCCCTTTAGGATAAAATCCTTTATGTATGATTTTTCTAATGACTTTTTTTGGTTTTTTTTTTTTTTGAGACAGGGTTTTACTATCCAGTTCAGGCTGGCATTGAACTCACTTTGTAGCCCTTGTTGGCCTTGAACTTGCATCAGTCCTAACACAGCCTCCCAAATTCTGGAATTACAGTCATACACCACCACATTTCGCCTTGTTTGATAATTTTATATTCTTTTAAATCAGAGCTAAAGAACTTGGAGTTTGTTGGTGGGTTTTTGGTTTGGAGGCTTTTTTGTTTCGAGAAGGTCTACATTGTAGTTTTGCTGCTCTTTATTTTTTTAATTTTTTTTTATTTTTAGCGGAACCTGGGTTTGAATCCAGGCCCTTGTGCTTGCCAGGGAAGCGCTTATTCTACTGAGCCATCTCCCCGGCCCTTTGCTGCTCAGTATGTCTATGTGTAATGTATTTGTTTCAAAATAGGATGGCATTGTTACAGCAGCTTTTAAATGTTTTTTTACCATTTACAGTCTTCTGTCTCTTCTGTTGTCTCCTTGTGTTCTCTTTGGAAGAATCTTGAGTTTGCATATATATCTGGAGAAGTCCATAACATTATAATCTCAGATATATCAGTCTTACATATCTTTGTTATACAGTAATATTGATCCTCTGGTCCCCTATATACAAATCTAAAAGGATCTACAAGTTAAGTTTTTGTGGGCCAGATATAACTCAGCAGGCATAGTGCCTGCCTGGTGAGCATGAAGTCATGAGTTCAATTCCTAGTTAAAAAAAAAAAAAAAAAAACTTTTTACCTAAAGG